CCGTGGGTGAAAGCCCAGGCGCTCGCCATCGTGCCCCACCTCCAGGCCTGGCTCCAGAGGGGGGGGGGCCGGTGACCCACGTCCGGGCGAGGGAATGTCAGATCTAAAGTTTTCGTGCATCATAAGGGGTCTTCGGGCTGCGCTTTGTCTGGTTCCTCACCTAGGACCTGTCTGCCATGGGTGACCCTACCAGGGGCATAAAGCCCCAGACAGCATAGCTCCTAGGATCATTGGGACACTCAAACCCCTCCACCACGATAAGGTAGCAGCCCAAGGAGAAGCAAAACAACTTTAACAGCCACATACTCCAGAGAACGTGCAGCTTTAAAGTACAAACGTTCACATTAGATACCATCTTTTACATATATCAGAACCCTACCTCCTCTCCCAGTTGCTCGATCTTGTCTAACACATTTTCATGTCGGACTCGTAACATATTGTTGATGTTCATCCTTGCCGCCCGCGGCTTTTCCGGGTTGCATCAAATCTGAGGTTAACATGAGGGATCAGGTTTAATTGTTAATTTTAGGATCTGAGGTCAGGGATAATGGTTAATTTGAGAGACTGGTGTCAGGGAAAGGCTGTACATTGATTAAATTCAGGGTATAGGACGAAAATGGTTAATATGAGGGATCAGTGTTAATGGTTAATTTTAGGGTCTGTGTTCATGGACAAAAAAAAGGTTAATATGAGAGATCAGGCTTCAAGGTTAATTTTAGGGTCTGTTGTGTTCACGGATAAAAAAATGTTAATATGAGGGAATGGTTAACTTTAGGGTCTGTGTTCAAGAACTTGTTTTCCTCCGCCTCATCTCATAAAGAACGGACGGGCACGCGGGGGCTACCCGCCGTGTCAACATAATAACCCTTGGTCAAGCATCATTATGTTGACGCAGGGGGCATGAGAATGAGCTCGAAACATTGGTAACCATCTACTGAAGAGTTATTAACTGGAGTAACATTTTGTAACCATGTCTCAGATAGACACAAAAAAAAAAATCTAAATTAGAATTCTCAAGACAATAATTCAACTGTTCAGTCTTTGAGACAACACTTCTGATATTTAGGTGTCCACCAAAAAGTCCTCCGGGCTTCAGCTTAGGGTTCCAAACAACTTTTGCATGATTAACAGTTTGAAATGTTTTAAATGACCTCTGTTTTTTTATTGCGAGATTATTGCTCCTGTCAACACTAAAAACAGAATGAGAGAGCTGAGGCTCTCTTCTTTTCACTGATGCTTGGCATACTGGAGTACTGATGAGTCCAGTGGCAAAACTATTTTCTCCAATTTTTTTTCTTTGAGGAAAACTAGATACAGATATTTCACTCACTCCCTTCCTAGGCAATGTCAAGTTGTTTAGATCAGAACAGATGTCATTTGTTGTACTTTGAATTTCTGGTCCTGGATTTAAATGAACACCCCTTGATAACAGTAAGACGAGAAATAGCAGGCTATGGATCCTCCATGCTAGGGTTTTAGTAAGTGCCAGTTGTTGCTTTACATGCTTACATTGGTCAATCACAGCACGAACATTTCATAAAACAGATGAGTAAACTGTGTAAAGACCAAACAAGTTATAATGAAAGCTCACTGGACTATTGATGGTTAAATTTGAATTTTGACCCATCAGACACATCTGTTGATTCCAGTGACTGCTGATGTGAGGGCCCTCAACATGCATTCCCTCAAGAAAGACAACCCGCAGAGGTGTTCCAACAGTGATGAGCAGCAATAGAGTCAAAAAAAGCACAGCGCAGATTTCTTGACGAACCATGATTTTAAAGTTGTTAAACCCTTTTTTGTTTAATTTAGCAGCAGTTATAGTTTTTCTATCACCAGCTGACCACCATTCAAAGTATGATCGGAAGTCTGGGCTTACAGCTCCTACCTCAGAGAGCCCACCAAGTATTGCCATCCAGCCGATATCTGTTGCCAGGCCCTGGAGCCTGGTCTTTGCCTGCTGACTTGATGGGCCTGATGAAGGCTGAGCTGCTCCTGGTGAAAACTGAGCCGGACCCAATGAAAGCCGAGCTGCTCCCTGTGAGGGCCGAGCCGGGTCCGATAAAAGCTGACCTGGGCCTGCCGAAAGCCGAGCCGCTCCACTCAATGTTTGGTTACCCTGGCCTGGTCATCCCGTGTTGCTCCTGTTCTTTTGTTGTTCTCTGCCGTCACATCAGCTTCTTTGTAATAATAAAGTTTTCTTTTAGTTTATTTCCTCATATCAGCCTGCATCCTTGGATCTGACCTTGCCTAACCTCACAAACACATAACATGTTCAATTTTTTCCTCTTCTTTTTCAACAGACTCAAACAAAATCCTGCTTACATCTTTTAAGCCTGAAACATCCTGTGTTTCTAAAATCTGAAGCTTTATTTTGTGTGTGTGTGTGTGTGTGTGTGTGTGGGTGTGTGTGTGTGTGTGTGTGTGTGTGTGTGTGTGTCTTTAGTATGCTGTAGAGTCTCAGATCCGCCTGAGAGGATTTGACCCTCAGCTCAGCATGATGTTGCTGTCTCCAAGACCGGTACCAACAACACAGATCACCCAGAACTAATCCATTCAGTCAATTTATTTAGAAATGAAATAGGGTTTGATAAGAATGAACAAAGATGCCTGCAGAAAAACTGAAATAAGTGAAATTTTTACCTTAGACATTGATTATCCTTCCGTTTTGTTCAGGGAGAAGACACCCTGAGGACTGAGGACATCCTGGAGGTGATTCAGAAGGAGGGAGACAACATTGCTGTGGTGATGTTCAGCGGAGTTCAGTTTTACACTGGCCAACTGTTTGATATGCGTGCCATCACAGAGGCTGGACACAAAAAGGTTAATTAAACACAATATGACCCCCACCCCCCACCAAACAAACAAAAAAATGTTTTTATTCATTTAATCTATGTTCAAAGTCCTAAACCTGAATGCACAATTTATGTGCATCTAGTTTTATTTACGAGGGCATAAAACCAAGTCATTATTTCTTAAACTAAAATAATTGTACAGTTTTAAATATTACAGCATATTTTATTTAAAATGGAATGATAAAAAAATCATTAACAACTTCTCCATTTGGGTTACAGGGTTGTTTTGTAGGATTTGATTGTGCCCACGCTGTAGGAAATGTTGACCTGAAGCTGCATGACTGGGGCGTTGACTTTGCCTGCTGGTGCTCCTACAAGGTTTGCTGACAAGAAACACAATAAAAGCAGAAAAACTTTAAACGAGAACTTAAAAATTATAATAGTATTCAATTTTTTTTACAGTATTTAAATTCAGGCGCTGGTGGACTTGCTGGGGCGTTTGTTCATGAAAAACACAAAGACACTATAAAGCC